AGTAGTACACATATTGTTTTATGACATTGGTTAACAACCCCACAACATGTCAACCCTCTAACTTCTCAACCTTTTATTTTGGTGAAAATACACATAGCTAAAGATATACCATTTCAAAAATTTCTACATGCACAGTTCAGTGACACTGACTACGCTCTTCCAATTGTGCTGCTGTTCTCACTTAAGATGAAGGCTTATAGAACAAAATAGTTTCTCATTTAACAGTCACTACACATGTTGCCCTATGACCATGGTTAACAATCTCACAACACATCAACAATATCCTTACTCATCCTTGGTTTCTCTACCACCAGCTTCCTTGTCCCCTTCTGCCTTCTGGCCCTTGTCACTGGACTCCTGTACCTCGTTAGTCTCATTTGGTTTTATGGAGCTGTCCACTCCCCGGCTGAACAGTGAACCTCGGAGATAACTTCACCACTGAGCTAAAAGGGTGTCTGAGGGCCATACTCTCGGGGTTTTTCCAGTCTCCTTTAGGCCAGTAACTCTGATCTTTTTTTTTTGTGAGTTAGAATTATGTTCTACATCCTTCTCCAGCTCTGTCCAGAACCCTCTGTTGTGATCCTGGTCAGGTTCAGCTCACTTTTAACTGTGCCTTCTTCAGAGGACCCAGGAGAGGAGCTGACGATGAAAAGGCTCGTGAACCATCAGCAGCAACATGCCTCGGCTGCTCAGGACAACCATTTAATGAGACGGCGACAGTGACACCTTTGCACACATAATCCCACCCCCAGGATACTGCTGCAGATTAGCACATCACTTCTCTTGTTCTGATTCTACAAAGTCTAGAAGGTGGAGGCGTTCCTACATTAGCGTCCCCTCTAGTACTACCCCCTTACCTAAATAACAGCCCTATAACCAATCCAGCTAGGACTGCTGCAGATGTGCCCTAACCTCTGAGGACATGAGAGTCAGGAAAGGAGGCCCAGGCTGAACCTCTGTCCTCTTAAGGGGAACCAGTGTACTTGAGCAGCAAGATCTGGTGGAAAGAAATGGGAAGTAATCACAGACAACCATCATGTCCATATCCAAACAATTCCCTGCCTAGACTATTAGGGAAGGGTGCTTTATTGCTTAGTTCTTGGTCACATAAAGCCTTGAGAAAGTTAATGGAAATAAATAGGCTTGTTCTAAGTATTTCTTCCCTTCCAGGATGACTGTTATTTAAGACAGATCTTCATTTAATATCAGCTTTTGGAAGAAAAACAGAAAAGGTGGTAAGTTTCTTTAGAAATTTATTATATGGTACAACCCAATTTTAGACACATTATTTAAAAAAAATTGAAAACTTGAGAAAGTACGATGATATTTGTTGTTAGCTGCTATCAAGCTGGCCCCTGACTCATGGCGACCCCACGTGTCATAGTGTAGAACTGCTCCATCGGGTTTTCTTGGCTGTAATTTTTATGGAAGCAGTTCACCAGGCCTTCTGTGGAGCTGCTGGGTGGGTTCACATGGCCAACCTTTGAGCGAGCAGCCCACTGCAAACTGCTTGCGCCACCCAGGCTCCGACTCACAGTGACCCTATAGGACAGGGCAGAACTGCTCCAAAGGGTTTCCAAGGAGCAGCTGGTGAATTCAAACTAGCAACCTTTTGGTTAGCAGGCCAAGCTCTTAACCGCTGCGCCACCAGGGCTCCATGATAATATTAAGGGATATAAATTAGTATCAAAATTATCAGCCACATTAAAAGAAAATGAAACCCACTCTTTCAATAAATCACCTAAAATTAACACCATTTTCACAGCACCATTTGTGCAGATGAACATAAAGCTACAAGAACCTACGAGAATACTGGAAATTAGAGACTGGTATTTGTAAACAACTCGCTAGTCCATTTCCAGCTACATCTTTTCAATCATATGATACAAGTCTTTATAAAAATACAAAATGCGCTTTTATTATTTAGTTTTTGGCATTTATGAGAGAAGCTGTATTCCTAAAGCAGAGGAAGAGCAGGGACAGGAAACAGCACTGAGTGAGTATATCTATTGGGTACTTTACACAGATGATTGTTTCCATTTTGCAGATGAGGCGACTGAGGCCCACCTGCCCAGGCCTCACAGCTAATAGGTGGCACAACCCAGAAAGAACCCAGGTCTGTCAGCTCTTTGTCCTACATAAACCACTCCACAGGCCAAGTCAGCGGGCTCTCTTCTGAATCACACACTGGGATCTTGGGGCTTCCACCTGAATCTGAACACCTCCTCTCTGACAGTATGTGAGTGACTGGGCCCTGAGGTCGACCAGTTGGCATCAAACTCTACCCAAATTTCAACACGAAAACAAAGGTGGGTGAGGAGCCTGCAGGTCAGGGGTGTAGACCAGTCCGGATGTCCAGTCCGGACCAAGGACTAGAGCCTATGTCCTGTCTTAAGAACTTGAGTTGTTTCAGGACTGCATCACTGCTAGAGGGCGAGAGAAGACGAGGTCAAGCAATCTAATGGGCTTTGTTGGCATGTACAAAGTTGCTTAACATGTCAACCCGCTCCAGTTCCTCGACTGAGGCCAGCTGGAGCTCCAGGTTCTACGGACAAGCAGTGCTCTAGTCTAGGGCTAAACCTCTGGGTGTTTGTTAATCCACTCAGCCACGTGATAAGCAACAGAAGCAAGCTCATTTAAGAACTCAATTCAGTCAACAACTGAATAGCCAGGGCCTAGGAGATACAGCCATTTCTGAAGCTGGGTGTGATCTGTGAGTCTGAGTCTCCCCCCATCTCGTCCCCTTCTCTTCTTCCCCAGCCTCCAACAGCAGAAGTGGCCACATTTCCTCCCCAAATGCTCACAGGAAGTGGGCCAGGCACCAGAATGAGCGTGGCCAAAACAGAAAGAGGGGTGGGGGGGGAGACAATTATATTTCTCTTCTTTAGAAGGTTCGGGTCTGTTTTTCTCTCACATTTTATTTCAAGGGAAAATTCATCTAACTTTCGTGTACCATAGAATCAATAAATTACAATCATGCCTCAGAAGTGGAAGCGACCTGAGAATCTATCCAGCGCCTAACACAGAACAGAAGTTTCCTCCACAGCATACTGAGGGATCATCCTTTAGTTCTGCTCAAATACTTTGAATACAAGGAGTTCTCCATTTTCATTAGCTTTAATTGTGTAAAAACGTCCTCCTTATAGTGAGTCAAAAATTCCATTCTTCCTTCAAACGTCTATTTGTCCTCAGGGGCAATACAGGATCAGTCTACTGTCTTTCCACACTGCAGCTCTTTGAACAGTTCCTTTTCCTGAGTTCTTCCTCCTCAAAATCAAACAGCTTCAGCCCCCTGAACATTTTGCTCTAAAGTCTGTTGAATGATACTGGTCACTCCTAGCCTTGGAACGCTCTCCAGTTTGCAAATGTTATTGTTGTTAGTTGATGTAGAGTCAGCTCTGACTCACGGCGACCCCACGTATAACAGAATGAAACATTGCCCGTTCATGCGTTCCGCTGCCTTCCAGAAAGATTGTTACCAATTTTCACTCTCACCAGCAATGGGTGAAAGTACCAGTTTTCTGTACCATGCCAATATTGCATGTTGTCAGGCTTTCTCAGGAAAGAAGTTAACTGCTCCAATGCAGAATGGAGAAGAGCTGGCTTAATAGCAACTTCAATGAAGGAGTAATGAGGATTTCAGCTGACAACAAACTCACTAAGGACTGGGAGCGGGATGTGATATAAACACGCATGAGAAAATCCAGGCTCCATTTATAGAC